TGGTCCGCAAACGTCATGAGTGATATATCACGGTCGACAGGGATGTTGTAATTATTGATATGTAGTTTTAGATTGAGGAATAAGACACACTAATCGTGATCGTGTACGTCGTGTCTTCTCTCTCTGATGCTTTATTAATTACAGATGTCCGAGTATCACAGGAAAGATGCGCATAATAATCCACAATTCATAATGTGAGCGGATGCACAACTCCACAGACGGACCTTTAACACGCGAACCCGTTCGTTTCGAAGCGAATACATTCCACTCATAAAAATGATTCTGTGGTGAAGTAGAAAATAACAAATGTAATTTCTACATAGTTCAGGCAAGAATTCAATAAACAAAAATCCTATATTAGTACTCAATTCAAGCTTGTAGAAATTAAAGCGATATAAAATCTACTCAACTTTTCTAATAATGGTGTTCCCATCATGCACTGGGGCATGAATATTAATTTTCCAGCTGTATTTACACCGTGTTATCACTGCTTTTGTTTGTTAGGGTTGGAAACTTGCCATTTTGTGGATTCATCTGGATTCATTTTCTACTCAAAATGACACATTAATACTCAAAAACGTTACGTCATTGTGTATTGTGTAAGTATTGAGGTCTATGTTACTTCTATTATACAGTAGCCTATGGAATCTATATCTATTGTATTATTAACTTGGATGTTTCTAAGTAAAGCATACACTTTAAAAGTGTGGTTTAATTCAGTGTTATATTGTCGGAGTAAAACCGTTTATTTTGTAAAACAAAACTTAAGTTAAGTAGAGGTTAGTTCTATATGTGAAAGTACATAAATTAAATGTGAAGTGTCAGTTGAATGTTAAGTTCAATAGTAAGTTGATAATAGCAGGTTAGTCGCATTAAAATTGACTTAAAATGTGATTTTACCAAGTAAGTTATTTTTTTCAGTGACGTTTGCTTTCGTACGACTCTCAGGAAGGTTTAGTGTGTGTGCGATGTTATTTTCAGACGTGATAGAGTGTTTTCCATGTTCATAAATGAGTGAGGTTATCTAGCGCACTTCGTCGACCTATTTTATTAGCGGCCAAACGACACTTTAAAATAAGTCAGAGCTGTAGAAATGTACAACCTAACTCTTTTTTTACTTTCTCAGTTTGTGTAAACCTACTTTTATTTTTCCCACATGTCTAGTACAGTTATGTGCTTTTGTTGCATTAATACAGTGTTTACTTTTTCTTAGATTTACCCCAAAATAATGAAAGTGAAATGTGACAACATGCCCCATACACTATAACATGACCATACGACAGATTAACATGTTATTTGATTTAATCCAAAAAATATACAAGAAAAACTAAAATATTTTCTCAATAAAATACAAATAGCTTTTTCAAATGAAATAATGGCATTTTTTAATAATTAAAAATTATGTAATTTTTGAGTTTGATAACAAACACACAGCAAAACACACCATAGTTGAACAACTATACATTAACTCTCTGTCTTTATTCACATTTTTCCTCATGGTTTCTCAATAGAATTCATAAAAGTATAGAATAGAATATCATAGTTCATTGTAACGCAGTGTGACAACATGCCCCGGACGATCTCAACTGTTAAAAAAACAGATATAAGATTAAAATAATATCAGATTTGTCTTATTCTAAATAAACACAAAAAACAGAGATGAAAAATGAACTTATTTTGCTATGGATAAATAAATGTCCAGTAATATCTTCCAAAGATTTTTTTAATTTTGTCTCAATGTTTTCCTCTATATGGTGTTGATATGGCAACTAAACACACTAAGTTTCATCATGCTGACGTGTGGAAAGTTTTAAACCATGTGTGTGTTACAGCGAGCCCTGCGTTAGTGTGTGTCCCGCTCACTCCTACTCATATACAAGTAAATATTAAGATGCATATTCATAAAGAGACATTAAACTCCCCATAATTCGCACCTTCATTGCACGTAAATACTGTATTTCTGCCCGTGTGATTGTCATCCTCAGACTGAAGGCATTTCTGTCCGCTGATAAAGGAAAAACTGCGGCAGTTTCTGGTGTTTGGGTGTTCGGCCGCCCTTCATCAAACTCCTCAACACACAGATTGCTTTTAGTCAATGCATGAATTGTAAAACACAGATGAACATTTGATTGGATGATCGAGGCAGATGTTTCTTTTTGACCAGAAATATCCCACAGTTTAAAACCCTTCCAATTTTTCGCACTAAATGTGACTCAAACTTGGATACTCGAAGTGTAAATCAGAATTTATTTTTCTTTTCTTCAGTCGGCTTTCCCAGTCCGACTTTGGTTGGGTGTTTTACTTGGCCATGCACTGGAGTTTTGAAGCCTTGGCTTTGACTCTTTTTAACAGGGTTAATAAACAGTGTGCAGAGAGCAACCATTAACCTATCGAGCGAGCCGCTGATGAGCATGTGACACGCTCTGATGATGTCACTGACACATGACCTCGTTACACTGAGCTCAACAAACGCTCTTTTAACGACACACTCGTCCGCGCC